TAATTGGCCAGAATTTCTGAATCAAGGTCAGACTTCTTAAGTAAAGGTTTAATAACAGCAACCTTAAAGTGCTGTGGTACATAACCATTCATTAAAGACAAATTAAGTAGATCCAAAATGTGGACATCAATTAGTTGAAATATCTCTTTAAACAGTCTGGTTGGGATGGGATCTAGCAGACATGTGGATGGTTTGGATGAAGCTATTATTTATGACAATTCAGAGCTCAACAGGACAAAAACAGCCCCAACACAAACCAGGCTCCAGTAATATCTCTAAAGCTGCATCATCTGATAGGGAACTAGGGGTAGTTGAAGGAAGGATGGTTTAAATTTTCTCTCTAATTCAAATAAATATATAAAGAATCTTATGAAGTCATCACTACTAATAGGGATACATGGTTCAACAGAGATGGTACTTTTAATTATATTTAATCTTCAATATATTTAATTATATATTTATTTATATTAAAATATATATATAATTAATCAGCGGCTCTGGCTGAGTGGTTAGAGCAGTCGTCCTCCAATGCAAGAGTTGGGGGTTCGAATCCACCAGCAGTCACATGTTGAAGTGTCCCTGAGCAAGACACTGAATCCCTCTGATGTGTTTCCCATCAGTGTATGAATGTGATCTAAAAGCACTGATTAGTCTCTTTGGAATGATTTGTTCAATTAGCTTTGCAGAGATCTAGCATAGAGCTGTATGAATGGGTAAATGAGGACACAGATTGTGTTGTAAAGAGCTTTGAGTGTCTTGAAATAAGATAGAAAGATGCTATATAAGTACAGTCCATTTACCATTTAATTATAGTACTGAACAGAAACCTAGGATTATTTTTATTCTCATCTATTAGAGATGAATAATATAAAGTTCTAGCTTTACAGAGAGCTTTCTGTTAGCAGATTATCTTTCCATCCATTCATTATTTTTTACCCGCTTCTTCCATTTTGGGTCACGAGGGTCGCCGGTGCCCATGTCCAGCAATTACTGTGTGAGGGGGGGGGGACACCCTAGACGGGTCGCAAGTCCATCACAGGGACACATAGAGACAAATGAGACAAACAACCATTCACTCTCTCACTCACACCTAGGGACAATTTAGAGTTACCAATCAGCCTAACATGCATGTTTTTGGTCTGTGGGAGGAAACCGGAGTACCCGGAGATAACCCGCGCATGCACGGAGAGAGCATGCAAACTCCACCCAGAAAAGCCCCTGGACCGGGGTTTGAACCAGGGACCTGCTCACTGAGAGGCAGCAGCTCTACCAGTTGTGCCACCGTGCTACTTAGTTAAATAAAAATTATTTAATGTTAGTGGAGCGCCCTTTTCTCTCCTGGTTTCTAGATGCCTGCTTTAAAGTACGTAACTCAGAAGTGAACCAAGGAGCCAGTTTCCTCTGATTGATAACTTTGTTTTTCAGCAGAGCAATCCATCAAACATGGGAATCTCCTTTTTAGGTAATGAAGAAAGGCATTGCTGTTGAATAAATAAAGCAGTGAGTCAACAATTTTCAGTCAGGTCATCTGGACAGTTTCTTTTTTTTTTTTTGTGCTGAGACATTTCACCTTCCATCCAGAAGGCTTCATCAGTCAAGGAAACACACAACACAAAACTGATTCTTCCCCCTACAGCTTACTCCAAAGTGGAACAAACCAGTAACTGTATATTGATGCTAAGATGGTGTCTTTGGCACGTCCCCTCCTTCAGTGCCGGCCCTCTTCCTCGTCGACAGTCATGTCAAACTGGTTCAAAACCAACAAAGTCCATGCTCAATAATCCAGGTATACAATCCAACAATTTTCAGTCAGGTCATCTGGACAATTTTTTTTTTTTTGTGCTGAAACATTTCACCTTCCTGCAGTGAGTTCTTTTTGCTTATTCATCAAGAATGATAAAATGTGACATTTTCTTCATGATTAGGAACTTGAGATGTTGCATATTTCTGTTCTTGTGAATTTCTAATGTTTGAATGGTATGTCAAAGGGCCTAGAGAAAGAGTCTGAGTTGGGTTTTAACTCTCCCTGCTGTTATGGAAGGTTGGAATTCTGCACCATCATGCTTTTGAAAGATATACACAAGTTGCATGTCATGCACAAGATCATCAGCTCCATCATCCAACACTTTCCTTCAAAGTATGACTCCATACCATCAGATTTTTTTCATTTACTAATGGATCCTGTAGAGCCTCCAAAAACTTGAATTTTTGCAACAGCAGTAGCAATACGTATGAGGCTGAGGGCATTCGGAGCAGCCGTCAGTGCTGAACTTGAGCTGCAAGTAATTCAGCCTCATCTTGCTTTTTTTTTTACTTTATTTACGCGCACACGTGTGTGTGTGTGTCTGTGTGTACATGTGTATATATTTATACTCTTTTGTGTTTATTTGTTAATCGTTAGGCTTCTTGATCTGGGACCTGAGTCTGAATTTCATACCATAAACATGCAAATGTGAGCTGGTATGAGAAAAATCCTTGAATATTTGTGTCCAGCTCCAGTTGCTCTTTGTGTCTTCTTAACTGTGCCTCATGTTCCTCCAAGGTGTGTTTTTCTTGAAGCAGTTTTTGTCTCACAATCAGGGCAGCTGCTTCAGCTTCAGCCATTGTCTGTGCTGATGTACTTGAAACTGGAGTTTGAGCCTGAGGAACTTCATTTGCCTCATTTGCTTCCTACATCTGAAACACTGTCACCTGGTTGCATTTCATCTTGTACGTCAGACGCTGCTTCAAACTGTTTCAGATTTTGAGATGTTATGTTGAGAATTTATGGAAGAAACCATCTCCTTTGATGAAACAGTCTCAGAAGAAACGTATATCTTAAGGAGCATAGGCACATTCTCAGTTTCATGGGGTTTTTTTTCTACAAAAGATCTTCCAGTTTCATGAAGCCACTGGTTCACATCTTCAACAAAACCAGCTATGCCTTCAAACCATTCAGAATGAGTGTCGTGGTGCGTTGTTCATCTTTAGGGATCATTAAAATGAATGAGCCAAGAGCTGCTTTTGCATTTTTAGACGGATCATTTTTCCAAATTAAACTGCACATCTTTTGCATTGTCATCGTTTTTCATTAATTCTTTAATGTCACGTGTTCCTTTAATTTTGTTCACGTGAGATTGTTGCTCTTTCTGCAAAGTTTCCATTTTTAAAAGCAAGCACCTTTGGCCGTCAGCTTTACAAATCTTTTTTCATGCAGTTCATATTCAGCTTCCTTAATTGTCACTTTCTCACTTGCATCACACAGCATCACATGATTTCAGACAACTTTACAGACCAATCACAGCCAATGCTTTTCTTCTGTGCAAACCAATGTGCAGAGCAGCTTCCTGCTGCTTGCCAAATCAAGCACGTGCACACACACAAACCAAACCAATGTCCCCAATGGACAAGCGGTGACACATCAAACTGTGTTCAAAACTTCCAACAATACACGGAGTGAGTCAGCATGTCCTACTGCCTCTGCTGGGTGTGTTGCGCTGCGTTCCACAAACTTCCTCCATCCAGCTGGTCAACTGTGACATTTCCATTAAACTCTTTTGAGAATAGCGTCCAAGCGTATCAAAAAATCATCCGATCCACAGCGTCATCCATCCATCCACAAGTCCTCTTCAGCAGCGGTATAGTCTACGTGATACGAGGGCATACGGAGTATACCCACTAGAAAAGCTCAAGAATTTCAGTATACCCACTTAAAAGTGCCCAATGATACATGACATACCATTAGACATTTGTCATTGATACGTGGAACGACAGCTAAACGCTTCTGTAACAATCTGTCTGTATGCATTCACCTATCCAGTGAATTATTGTATAATTCTGTACTTACTACTTAACAACCTGGCATCCACATATGCAAGAGTCCGGGTCTTGGTACTTGAACATGTTTTGCTTTGATACTGTTTTATAAATTGTATAACATGTTTTAATACAAAGCCCACTGTTGTACAAAGTTTGCTGTGCATTTATTCAAACAAAAGCATCAGAGAAATTTGGAAATGTTCAATATGCTTAAAAATCAAAATAAGTTAACAATTACATTGTACTAACCAGTGTACATTGGTTTCTAAGCACAGTACACCCACTACAAAGATGTAGACGACACCACTCCTCTTCAGTGCTCTGATGCATGCTGTAAGATGCTTTTCAGTTGACTAAATGGAGCGACTTCCATCCACAAAATCCAGTCGCTGCCGGCTGAGTAGAGTTTGCTCTGTGACTCGTCTCCAATGGTCCATGCTGAGTCCAACTTGTGTTTTGTGTATTTATTAAAACTAACTCAATGCCATCCAGCAAACAGCGTCTGTATTAATTTACATCGCAAGTCTGACTGAAAAAGATATCAATCAAAAGTGATGGTTCTAACAGAAATGTTTTCAAAAAACCCCATTAACCCAGCACCTGGTGCCATTACCCAGATCAGCTAAGTAATATGTGACCACGCCCTTCATGGAGTTACCTGAAGGTCTGGCTAAATCTGAACACCTGTGCCACCATAAACAACAACACATAGCAGTCATTTAGGCTCTTATAAGGTTAAAGATGCTACTATAAAGGTTAAATAAATAGTCTCTAAAGGATTTTTTCTTATTTAATAAATTGCTTATTAAAACATTGTTTGTGCCTGTTTTTGAGTCATAAATATGTGCAAATTGTTATTTCTTCACAGTTACTTAAAAAATAACTTCTGATGACCCGAAAAGGAAGAAGCGGGTAAAAGATAATGAATGGATGGATGGATGGACGGAAATCCTGTAATTCCTGTTTTGGACACAAGATGTCGGTGTTGTAGTGTTTTTAGAAACAAAACTGCCTTTTTTTCAGAAAATTCATTACCGTTGGTGGCACGAGTGGGCGCGGTTTGAAGTGAGTGATGCATTGTGGGACAATGTGTTTTCTTTCTATGCCAGTTTGTGTCAGTTGATAATAGGTAAGCGTCGTAAAGTGACTACAAATCCCGTCGTGCTCGTGGCTAGTCCTTCAGCGTCTGACTTTACAATAGGCTCATAGAGGTGACCCTCCGTGTAGTTGGACTCCGAGCAGGGAGAAACAGCAGCCGCAGACACAGCTTCACTTTTAGCTAAAATGGTAAGAATGCTAACGATTTTATAGGCATAAAAGTATAAATAAGGATGTATTCTACATATTTTTTATCAACGACCGTTCCTTTAAATACTACAAGACAATTGAATTGAACTACAATTCCTGAAGGCGGCTGCATCATTTCATATTTTCGGTTATGCTCAAAAAGAGCTAAAATTATTAGTGTCGTGTCAGATTATATGCTGAAATTACAACGGCAGACACAATGGTAGAGTTGTACGTAGATTGCTGCGTAGTTTCAGCTCGGACGTGAGGGTCTGCAGTCGTTGCTTGTATGAAAAATGTAAGAATAACGTTTGAGCTGGAGCGCAGACGAGTTTTAACGCTGAGCTCGTCGGCGGTGCATCCATTTTAACAAGAGGGCGTGGCGTCGAAATGACGTCACGTGTGTTCTGTCGGCCCAAATGATCCGCGCAAACCTGCCTCACCTTGAATCTGCTTAAAACCTGTAGTTTTCTGCTTGCTGATCTTTGTGATCATTTGTCATTGAAGGCTGCTTAAAAACAGCCGAGTTACTTACTCTGACCTTTACTATTGATTATAGATAGGTTATTAGATATTAGAGCTTATTGCAAGATAAGTCTCATGGTGCTCCACTGCCACAGGAGATGATCTTTTGAACCAGCTGCCTCACAGTCAGTAGATCATTTTTAAATTATGTTCCCTTTGTCACTAAGGGGGTTAAAAAAAAAAGCACAGCGGCTCACATCCTGCAGAGCTGGCTGGATGCTGTCCTGACATGTTCTTCATTTCTTGTAATTTGTTCGGTCACCTTAATGAAGCACTCCTGTCTCTTTCCCTCAAGGCTGAACCAATCCGCGTTGTGGTGACCGGTGCTGCTGGCCAGATTGCCTACTCGCTGCTGTACAGCATCGCAAAGGGAGATGTGTTCGGGCAGGACCAGGTAAAATGGGCTCCTGCGTTGATTATGTAACGTGTGGGAGCAGCTGCTGCAGAGCCTGATCTCTGCAGAGACAGCTGCACAAAGTATGACGTTTACATGAAACATGTGCATCAATGACTGTGCAATGCAGTCCTGCTCCGTGATGAGGGGAACAACAAATAAAATAATAGATTTTGAGAACACACTGATGCTGACAAGCTTACAAGAATGGAGGTGTGAAGCGTCTGATTTCTATCAGAAGCTAGTGAACACGTTTAATCTGCAGGTTTTCTGTGCCTTTGTCCTTGACATGCATGAATTTGACTTTAAATGTATTTTCTACTTGTAGTGTCGCAGTCGGACTTTATCACTGTGGGACACGTTTCATACAAGTCAAATGAAACTCAAATTATTTTGTAAATTTTAATTAAAACAAGTTGAGAAACTCCCCACTACACGTAAACACACAAAGATACAATAAATTATAGTGAACGTTCAAGGGAAGCTAGGATAGATTCAAAAAAAGTTAATTTATGAAACGTCGTAAAAGATAATGACTCCACATCAGAGCCACACTCGGCTGGTTGGTGTGTTGAATAGTCAGATTGTCCTCGAGTTGTGTTGGACTTTAAGTTGTATAACTCTGGATCTAATTCATAGCTGCACAATTCTGAAAACATTACATAATTAAAACTTTTTAGTTATTATGGTGCTGTAAAGTTATGACAATAGAAGTAAGAGAGTTTTAGGTTGTCAGAGAAATTAAAACCCCTGTTTGTAAAATTAAGTTTCAGGAGTGAATTGTTCTTTTAAGTGAAGTTTACATTAAATCAACTGAGCCATGTAATATTTTAATGCATTATCTTTTTAATTTAACTTTTCCGAGGGTACCAAAGTCTTTCAGATGCACACGCTTTAAAAAGTCCCGTTTCCTCTACTTTTCTTGCACTTGCTGTTTTTTTTTCCTGGCGACATTTCCACCCTGCTGACTCTGTGCTGTGTGTCCCCCCGTCAGCCCATCGTCCTGATCCTGCTGGACATCCCTCCAATGCTGCCGGTTCTGGACGGAGTCGTCATGGAGCTGCAGGACTGCGCCCTCCCACTTCTGAGGGGTGAGCCTAAAACCTGGCACCTTCTACTTCCATTGTTAAATCACTTTATGTCAAAGGATGACCAATAAGTCTTCGTTTTTAACTTTGGGCAAGTTTCTGCCAGCGTTTATATTTTTATCCAGCATGTGAGCGATCAGCTCTGATTTCCTGTAGAGCTTTGCTTCCATCAGTTGTGCAGATGGTACACAGTGTGCACTTCGGTGGTTTGTCCTTCAGACATGTTGTACACACTTTTCTGCTGCTGCGTGCAGGAAGGAAGGAGTGTCTAAACGAAGGCTTCTGATTGGTGGTTCAGACACTGGTGGTTCAGCCAATCAGAACTTTTGTGGGGCCACTATGAACAGAACAGAGGACTGAAGTTCAGTCTGATATCAGCTGATATCCAAGTGGATCTTATCTTTAGCATCAGCTGAGGCGGCACGACTCATCTTAAAGTCTTGTTTAAAATAATCAGAAATTAAAACATATTTTCAGGTCTCATGTAGAACAAGAACATAAACAACAATCAGTTTGACAGAAACTGAAGAGCACAGAACACAAACGCCTCCCTCTGTTCCTCTCACAGAGGTCATCCCCACTGACAAGGTGGAGGTGGGCTTCAAGGACATCGATGCTGCCATCCTGGTGGGCTCCATGCCCAGGAAGGAGGGGATGGAGAGGAAGGACCTGCTCAAAGCTAACGTGGCCATCTTTAAGACGCAGGGAGCAGCCCTGGACAAGTACGCCAAGAAGACCGTGAAGGTGACTCGTCACTCTGAAAACTGTTTACGTTGGTTTAGGAGGGTGTCATGGATCAGCTTTGTTTTACTGGAAGTGTTGGACCCAAACATCTGGTGTTTGTTCTCCGTTTGAACAAGTGAACTGGTGCTGATAAAGCCAGGAAATGAAAGTGCTCACTTGGCTTTTCCGGTAAAAGTCACTCTGCTGTTACCGTAAGTCTACGATACAGCAACTTCAGTTCGATACAAAAACTTGGACCAAGCCTCCAACACCTCAAGGTCAAATCTTTCAGAGCTCGATGCTGTTTGTAAAATGCACCATGACTGTAGTCTGCACATGTTCATCAGCTGGGAGCTGTGTGAGGTGACACAAAACAAATCTGTGCCTCCTGAGGTTTAAGTCTCACATGCAGAGAATCTGTAGAGGGAAAATAAAACTTTGAACTGTGGGATGTTTAACGTGTTAAACTAGTTTTATACAGGTTAAAGAGATTTGGGTAAAAAAGGAAAGTGACACTACACTTAAACTTTTTCAAACATTCTTCAGGATAAACATCTGAGAGTAACAGTGGTTCAAACAAAAGATATTAGCGAGCTAATTATTAAACTGCACCAAGATCAGAAATGGACGGTAGGAGTTCTATTGTTTTAGTTTTGTTTCCAGCTAACAAAGTTTAAACATTGATTTACTGCTGTAAATAGCTCTACTTGTTAGTCTATTTAGTCACGCTGCTGCGTTATTAGCAGAAATGTTTTATTTAGCTAAGTGTGGGTCTTTGTGTGCATTATTAGTAGAACTACATTATGTTCTAGGCTGTGCTCAGTATTTTATTGGCTCGCCTTTGACTCATCTGCAGCCACCTAACATTTACGATTGAACCTACTAGCATCTAGTTTTGAAACGTGCACATTTGGAACAGTTTTTGTTTTATAATCTGCATTGCTTCCCCTACCATTATGCAAGCAGGGCGCCCCACCCTGTCAACAGAACTAAGCACCTTGCCTACCGAACTCCTCCCCCCCACCCATCGACAACTGACTGCACTGACGCTAAGCTAGTGGCATACAATACAGACGCGCTAGCTAAAACGCTATGACTTTTGTGGTAGTGCTCTGTTTCCTTCACACAGAGCCGTCTCCACACCCCACCCTTGGAGGAAAACTGTTGGGTCAAACATTGCACAACACATGCGTGTCCCCCCCCCCCCACATACACAAAAACTGTGCAATATATGAGCGCCCTGCCAAGGCAAGTAAACCAGGGGAAACTGATCTGCGTGGTTAAAACATTCGGGGCTTTAGCTGATGTTGTCTGGAGGCCTCTCGTGCAGCTCTCGTTCTTTTGAATGACAAAAAGTGAACTAAGAAGAGGTGAAGGTGCTCACAACGTCTCCACAACAGTTTTTGTTGCAAAGACAATTGGTCACAAAAAAGTTGAGCATGTTCAGGATTGTGAGGCTCTGCAACTCATGAGGAAAGAAACGTTTTTAAATATTTTGGAGACCCACACGTTCACCAGCCATCACAGGTCAGTGAGATGTTACCCAAAGAACTTTTCTGTCCTTCAACGTGCTCATGAAGTTCAGAGCAAGTCAGAAATGGCTACAAGTGCTTTTGATTACACGTTGCTGCTCCTGGGGGGACTCGTTCTGTTTGTCAGACGTGTGGCTGTGAGTCTGATGGATGTTGTTTCTTCCTCTCCTCAGGTTTTGGTGGTTGGAAACCCAGCAAACACCAACTGTCTGATTGCCTCCAAGTCTGCTCCATCCATCCCCAAAGAGAACTTCTCCTGCCTGACCCGACTGGACCACAACAGAGCACGCTCCCAGGTATACTCGAGGTCGCCCTGCAGTGTGGAGGGCGAGCCCGGTTTAAATAAATATCCCTTCAGACATGAAGAAACCGTTCAACACTTCCTGCTGTCAAACTATTCTCAATACGTATAAGACGAGCATAACAAGTTGTAGTTTCTGAAGCTGAACAAGAATGAAAACTACAACTGCCTTTTAATAAACAGGATGTTTGAGCTCCTCCTCTGATGCAGCGACACGTTTCCTTTCTGACACGTTCTGTGAGAAGATCGTTACTGTTCGAGAAAGGTAAACTATAGTTTGCTTTAAGCAAAACTAATGAGTAAGGAGACAGATGAACATTTAACAAAGACCTGTCCAACGTTCTCAAAACTGCAAAATACTGACCACGTTTATCTGCAGACATCGTCCTCAAAGAACACGTCTGAAGAAAACCTCTTGATTATGACTGGAAACCACTTGAATGTTTAAAATCTCATGGAACTCGTGTAAAAGAAACATTTCTACATGAACAATGCAACGATGACTTCAGGCATTAACACCAGAAGAAACCACTTCTCTATGAGGCGGATTGAAACGAGGGCTTTTCTTTTGAAGAAGATTGTAGGAAAAAGAAATATATTTAGACTGGTGTCCAAAGTTATCCACTATGTAGGTTAGACTTATATTTGGATTAGATCAATGATCCAGTCTGATTGATAGAAAGTGTATCTGCAGAGAATTTACTTGAAGAGAAGCACCGAGCATGATCTAAACTGAAGAGCCAAACTTATTGTGACCATCTGAACTCAAAGTTTACTGATGATGAACTGGATTCACTGTTGCCTGAAACAGATAAAGCTTCAGTTTGGTTTATTTCTCTCAGTAGTAGTGAGTACTGAACAGGTGTCTTCAATAAGAGACTTGTTGCATTAAGTACGTGTGTTTCTTTAGTCAGGTCAGTCAGTATGTGCAGATGGTTAGTTTTTCCTGGTGCGTCTTCAAACACTGCGTCTTGATCTGTGACTTGCAGGTGGCCATGCGCTGCGGCGTGTCCTCTGACAGTGTGAAGAACGTCATCATCTGGGGGAACCACTCCTCCACTCAGTACCCTGACGTCCACCACGCCATGGTGGACCTCCACGGCAGCGAGAAGCCAGCCTATGACGCTGTGAAGGATGACACCTGGCTCAGAGGAGACTTCATCTCTGTGAGCGCTCACTCTTTGGTCCAAGTTTGAAAATGTAGTGGAGCTCGTTTCATTCTTTCTCGTCTTCCTGCAGACGGTGCAGCAGCGAGGCGCTGCAGTCATCAAGGCCAGGAAGCTGTCCAGCGCCATGTCTGCTGCCAAGGCCATCTGTGACCACATGAGGGACATCTGGTTTGGCACCAAGGAGGTGAGCGTGGACAGCAGCGTCTTCATTTATCGTTTCAGCAGAGGAGTGTTGTTAACAGCAACATTTAACTGGGAACAAACGGCACCAGTGTTTCCCTGAAGTAACTTTAAAACCTCATGTCAGACTTTTGTTTGTTCTGACTTCAGATTCATTTCCCACCTTTTCACCAGTGGGCAGAAATGTTTTGGTTTGTGTGTGTGTTGGTGCAGCTGTCGTGTTAGAAAAATATCTCTTGAACTACGGGGCAAATTTTACAGAAACTTTCATAAAGTAATCATTAGGTGTACAACTGTCAGCCCAGTTCAAGATGGCTGCCACAGCTAACAACAACAACTCCAGATACTGAGCTGACTCTTGACTTGGTAGTAGCTGAGAGTCCTCCCCAACACACACACCTTGCTAACAGCAGGTCAAGCATCACTTTAGTTCTGAGCTTGGACCAATCAGCTACAAGTCCATCGTGGATCGTTTAAAGAAGATCAGAGGTCAGAGTGTTGGGAGATGTGAACGTCTTCAGTCATGATTGTGTTTGAAAATACTCAGCATTAAGAAGGTGTGAGATGTTTCACATCAAGTGGCTCCTCTGCAGATGCTCACGTTCTTCAAATGCTGAACGCTTTTTATTAATCCTGAAAAGACTAAACAAGAGAAGTTTGTATCTTGTTTGTTGGGTCGTGTTTGACACGTGCATCGTTTTCATTCTTGTAAACGGAGACTCGTTGTCCTGCAGGGGGAGTTCATCTCCATGGGAGTGTTTGCTGCAGGAAACTCCTACGGCATCCCAGAAGACCTCATTTACTCCTTCCCTGTTCAGATCAAGGTGAGCAGGTGTTACTGTTTAACACAAGTTCATTGCATGTGTGTGTTCTTGTAAACATACTTTTTGGGGACTTTGCATCGACTTCCATTCATTTTCTATGGCCTGACCCTTACCATAAACCTAACCATTACTAGTACCGTATTTTCCACCATACACGTCACTCCACCCTATAAGTTGCATCAGTCCATATTTGCCTAATATAGTGGAAAAATCCATAAATATGTCGCTTTGCCGTATGCATGGCATCTATTATGCTGACAGCCTGGAAATGTGGGCCGGTGTTGTGCCAAAAATCGATGTGCTGCCAAATGGCGGCCGGGGGAGTGCACACAGGAGGACTTTAACAAGAATTTAACAAGATTAACACTTAAAAACAATTATTTGTTGCTTGAAATTATAATAAATGTGTGTCTCAGTCTAACGTTTGCTTGATAAATGCACTTTGACGGTCAAATCAGCTGCATTTCAAAAATAGTTTTCCTCCCTCTGTGCTCCGGGGACGCACAGAGGGAGGAAAAAAGGAGGAGGAATGCTTCTCGTTTCTTCAAAATTTAACAAGTAAAGCACATAAACAATTATTTGTTTGTTCAAAATTATAGTAAAGGTGTGTCTCAGTTGAACTTTTACTTAATAAATGCACTTTAATGGTCAAACCAGCTGCACCGCTCGCGAAATGCAGCTGGTTTGACAGTTCCAAGTAAGGAGCAGAATAAAGGTGGGGGGGACTATGTGTATGGCAGGCCGATTGTGTCATTAATAGCTGGTGAAGATTCTCAGTCATCCAGGACATGGTAAATTCAAAAGAAGTTCAAGGGAAAAAAAAACTATAAAATAAAGTATAATAAATAAAGTCCAGTTGTTTTTGTATTGAACTTTTTTGAAATTTATCAATTACATGATACAAAGGCATGCCATACTGCTACTACTACTGCTACCATCAAGTGGCTGAAAGTGGAACTGCTCAATTTTTTTTTCAGTCAGAATGAATGAAAACGGTCATAGCTAGGACATTAACGGAGTACTCGAGTAATCTACACATCGATTGCTTGGACATCTATCGATGTTAAAAATGTAACGTCGAGTATCCGTAGTGACGTCACATTATGTGACCTCTGTATGACCGTAGGGGGCGGTGTTGCACTGTTGCAGGTCACAGAGTATGGTGTAACACCGGGTCCAATCCACCGAACCAGAACCAGCTTCCTCTTGTTTCACAAACAAAAAGCAAAAAATATTAATCTCCAAACCTATAAAAAAAATCTATAAACATATTAATCTCTAAACTTAATGCTCACCACAGCTGGCCGTGGTGCGGGGTGGTCGACACCCCCCCCCCCTCTACTGTTAAGTTTCATTTCTGACGTGCTGCACGTTTCTTCATGTTTGCAGTTTAATAATAAAAACTAATTGTTTAGTTTTTCCTGTGACTTATTTGCAGTATGATAAATGGTAGGAGCGTAATATACACTCCCAATGTTTTGTTGGTCTTTTTTATTTGTAAATAATTACCTTTTTTTGCGGTTTTATTTATTTATTTGTGTATCTTAAGATCTATGACATCATCAAATACTCTAGTTCTACTCGAGTTTTATTATGTTAATGTCGAGTTTAAAAAGTATATACTCGTTCAACCCCTAATCATAGCCAAACATTGATTTATAAATATGATGAAAAAGATCCATAAATATGTCGCTTCAGCCTATAAGTCGCAGGACATGCAAATTATGTTAAAAAAAGTGTGACTTATAATGTGGAAAATACGGTACATGCTTAACTCTAACCCATCTGCAAGTCACGTCTTAGTCTTAAACCTAACCCCCCATGAGACTTCTCCTCATGGGGACCTGGCTTTAGTCCCCAGAAAGAGCAGGTGGTTCCCACAATGCATGATTGTTTTGGAAAACTGGTCCCTACAAGGTAACCTGAAACAAAAAAGTTATACACACACGCGCATGCTGAAAAGGTTCTTGGTGTTTTTAAATCTCTCAATAATGGATACTTTTTAACTTTTGTTTGTGAAATGACTGGTCACAAGATTTGTTTAAAACTTGTTAAATAGATGTAAAACAATTGAGTTCAGTTTATTTATAAAGCACAAAGTCACAACAGAAGTCACTACAGGGCACTGAACAGAGAAACAAAATAAACCAGCAGTTGAACTGGTCTTGAATTCATTTCAGACGTTGGTTTACTGGTTTCAACCTTACATAATTTATTTTATATCAACCATTTTCTCACCTCTACAGCTTCTTGAATTTTCTTTTCCTTGAGATCTGATTTGCTGCGACTGTTGTATCAGAGAAACAAATGTTCAGGTGACGGGTGTTCATGGAGTCGGAGCAGGAAAGAAGTGTGTGAACACTGAAGCACTCGTCGGCATCCTCTCTTGTCGTTCCCAGAACAAGACCTGGAAGATCGTGGGTGGACTCCCTATTAATGACTTCTCCCGAGCCAAGATGGACGCCACGGCGGCCGAGCTGGTTGAGGAGCGAGACACCGCCCTGAACTTCCTGTCTCAGTGACTATCTCCAGGCCACCAGCAGCTACTAGATCCTCCAAAGAGCCGCTGCTCTCGGCTGTGAACGCGATGCCCTCCACTCAGATCCATCTGAGCTGGTGTTTGTGTGTCACCTTTGTGTGTGTGTGTGCGTGCTTTCATCAGTGTGTGTCGCAGGTCACTTCTTCAGGTTTACTGACAACCTCCACCACCTGGCCTCTTGTGTCTGTAAGATACTGAGACGTATCGTTGGGTAAATGAAAACGCACACAAACTGTACCAGAACCTGTTCTCTTCAGTAAAACTACCAAAACTCACAGACCACCTCTGACCTCTTTTTGTGTCTTTGATGTCTCTTGTGCCAGGGGGTTATCAGATGAGGGGGGGGGGGGTAAAAAACATCTTAAAGGGACGTGTTTCTGTTTGAGGCGATCTGTTCTAAGACGGCAGCGATCCACTTTGGGTGTTTGAGGCTCCAAGCTTTTGTTGGGTCAGTCTGCTCAGAGCAGTCTACATGGAAGAGTATTTGTTCACAACCTTCCTTAGATACCCACTTCAAAATGTCTGAACTATTGCTTTAAAAGACTTCAGCTGCTACATCAATACACAATCTATGTGGCTGCTGTTCTGTAGAGTACGACAGAATATGAAGAGATTATTAGTAAATTAATTTTAATGAACTTTTATGTAACCAGGTGGCTCCCCTGGAGATCAGACCTCTCACAGGGGTGGGGGCCCTGAAAGGCAGCATAACAGGAATGTTTGTGGACTCCTGGAGGAAACTGGAGTATCTGCAGAAAATCCACACCAACACGAGGACCCAGGTCCAAACTGGAGATTGAACCTACGACCGTGCTGTGAGCCAACAGTGCTAATCACTGATCCATCGCTAAATGGAAATTTTATACAAAAGTTGCATCACAGAATTCATAGTATAAAATAAAAGAATAACAAAAGCCTTTAGATAAAAGACCCGAGTGTCTGGATCAGATCAAAGACATAAAGACCAAGTATTTCTCCATATTTTTATAACTTTCTAGGATTTGAGGGGAAAAAGCACCTTTAAAGTTTCAGCATGTTTGTTATAGATTTGGGGGGGGGGGTTGAATAACCCTTCCCCAAAAACTGAAAATTGTTTAGTATGAGTGCTAGATCAACCAAAACATTTAGACTGAAGTCTGTTGGATGAAAGACGAAACGTTTCTACAATTTTTTTTTTTGTTTTTTGAACCCGTCCAGAGGACCAGACTTACCTTTTTTAGACAAAACATGTACGGCTTTAATGAACCGATGACCTGTACGTTTTGAAAAGTAGCTTTTCTTACCCTGATAAAAGATTTGGACTTGAAAGGTTTTCATCAGTTTACAAGCAGCCTTAGTGCTGCCTTGCAGTGCCTGCAGGGAGTGAAGATGACCACCAGGGGGCAGCATCGACACGCGGAACGAACCACTTCCTGTTATACATCTTCAGTACACTTAATCTTAGTACATCTAGTACTACCTTTGTAATATTTAACGTTAACACAACTCATAGGCGAATATAACATGAAGGTAACATGGAAAATGCGCTGAGTTTAAAATAATTTGAATTAGTTGAGGCTAAACCTGCTTTAAAAACCGATGGAGATGAGCTTAGTCCGAGGTGGGCGGGACACGTATGTGTAGCTGTTTGACTGACAGGCGTCTTCGACCAATGGGTGCTGTGGGCTTCTGTCCGCGCCGTTACGTCACTGCGCTCAGACGGAGGATGGTTGAAGCAGCAGAGACTATTTCAGAGGCTTGACACCATAGACATCTATGCTTTACACCCTGTGACCTGACCTTTCGTCCCGGCGCTGAATCGTCGGTGTCACAGCTCGGGGTGGCCCCAGTCTGAGGCGTGTTGTCTGGAGGTAGTTTCCAAAGCGGTCCCGCTGCTTTGACCCTGTAAGGTGGGTAAGAAAAGAGCTTTGCGACAGCTGTGGCTCTCCTCGTGCACGAAAACTGGACGCAAGTCTGGTGTCTCGATTCAACAGCTCTGTCGTGTCTGCTTCGCTGTGTGTCTGATCATTTGTCCCGCAGAAAACAAGTCGTCAAAATAAAACAATTCCCAACAATATTGGAATAACCTGAAGGCAAGGCAGGTACAGTACGGGACTAAAGGGATCTAAAGTGTTCCAGAGTAGAAATACGTTCAGAACAGTCTGAATGCTCGAGACGTTTAAAAAACAGAACAACAGCGGGTTCAACTGACGGCCCGGGGGCCAAATCAGGCCCACCGGTGGGTTCATTAATAATAATGTGCTCACTGGGACACCTGGACAGGTCTCCAGTCCATCACTGGGACACCTGGACAGGTCTCCAGTCCATCACTGGGACACCTGGACAGGTCTCCAGTCCATCACAGGGACACCTGGACAGGTCTCCAGTCCATCACTGGGACACCTGGACAGGTCTCCAGTCCATCACTGGGACACCTGGACAGGTCTCCAGTCCATCACTGGGACACCGGGACAGGTCTCCAGTCAATCACAGGGACACAGAGACAGGTCTCCAGTCCATCACTGGGACACCTGGACAGGTCTCCAGTTCATCACAGGGACACCGGGACAGGTCTCCAGTCCATCACAGGGACACCAGGACAGGTCTCCAGTCCATCACAGGGACACCAGGACAGGTCTCCAGTCCATCACAGGGACACATAGAGACAAACAACCATTCACTCTCTCACTCACTCAGGAACAATTTAGAGTTGCCAGTCAGTCTAACGTGCATGTTTTTGGTCTGTGGGAGGAAACCAGAGTACCTGGAGAAAACCCACGCAGCACTAATCCTGTCGTGATAAAACAATAAAGCAATTAATCGCATGTTAAATACAAATGATCAACCTCATTTTCATTTATCAGCTTTATCATTTCTTCGTGTCTCTCTCTTTCCACTGAAGACACTGGAAGACAAAAGGCTCAACCCCGGTGTTCTTCACTGACCCCTCCCTTTCTCTTTTCTCTTTAAAATCCACTTTAATCGTCCAAAATTACGTTTTTTCATCGTTAAAAGCAGCAAAGCTGAGAAGCTAAGCTAACAGGTCGACCTCGGGGGAAAAAAACTCCGTCTTGTCAAAACTCCAAAATTCACGGTTGAAACCCGTGCCTTCACGTGAAAAGTTTTTTTTTTTCCTGCAAAAAGAAGCTGAGAACTTGTTTACTGTTTTTTATTAAAAGCTTTGTGTGAAAAATGCTATGCTAAAGAGCTCAAACCACACCAAACGTCTGCCATTTTGAGAACTGAAGAGAGACAGCCCATGTCATGTCAAGGGGCCTCCCTTCACGCTGCTCGCTCCCTCACTATCCATCCTTCACTTCAAACAGTCTTATACTGCCATCCAGTGGTCAAAAAAGGTACTACACACAAAAATTAGCTAACATTTCTTCTTAAATTTGACAGTAATTACTAATTATCGTTTATCACAGTTTTTATGCCTTTTTGTTGCACAGACTTCACCTTCATGCCTCGAAAACCTCTGAGAAAATTAGTTTTTGTGTAAGCAACAAAACACTGAACATTTTGGATCCTGTGCATCCAAAATGAATTATGAACTTAATAAAATTAGAAGGAAACTGATTGTATGTCACTTTCTGTATTCAGCTTCAAAACGTCCACACTGATGAAGTTGTGTTTACACGTGAACACATCACAGAACCATTATATTCATAGTCTGAGTTATTAAAAAGAAAAGCTCCAACGGATGATTGACTCAAAGAGGAACCAAACGGGATATAAAATCTTATTAACTGCTGATTGTATGAAGGCTCAGCTTGATCATTTTGGTGGAGAAACGGTTTTGTTGCAGAGACTGCCTCACTTCAGAAAATTACAAAAGTTTTGACCTCAAATAAACAAGAAGTTTTAATTGACCATAAGAGCCAGACTAGTTAAAATGTTCACACTGTAACCCTGCGTGGTGTCAGCTGCACAGCCGAGTCTTTGAACCGCAGATGAACCAGATTCTCTGTCTTCATATTCGAGAATTCATTCTTCTTCTTTTGTTATCCACGTAAGGGAGTGTTTATCATAAGCTGGTATTGTCAAGATTTGATAGTATAGCTTCATGTTCTTTAATATTTTTTAGAAATAGTAAATACTGAATTGTTTTAGACCAAATGGCATTAGAATTCTCCTTTTAGTTAATCTGCAGGAGAACAATTTTAACATGACCAATAATTTGCTTGAATCACTCTTATGCAGCACACTTTAGGGCTGTAAGTTGTCCTGGTTTGTTTTATAAGTATATCGGTAAAATATTCTTCTGTATCTGTTGAGCTGAGGCCAGAACATCTAAAGAAAACCCGTCTTAAAAGTCCTTTCATGCTTGATTAAATGTTCAACATGTTGGTTTTTTTTGTTTCCACTGAGCCTAAATGACTCATTTACAAGTGAGACCTGTTTCAGACAGACAAAAGTAGATAAGGAAAAGAGAAACACGAGGGGAGGGGAGGTAAAAAAATAAAAAAAATCGCATCTCGCACTGTCCTGGCCAGGGCACAGTGTGAAAGTTGGAAAAAAAGACCTAGCACATAAACAGCAACGTAATAATGACATCATAATACATTTATGTATTATGTGTGAGTTGAGTCCCATAGTCCTAATAAGAGATGGCACAGTGTCTATCAGCCGCCTCAGCTCTGATACAGGTCCACAGATGTCCTCAGGAAAGGTAGGGGAGTGGGGGAGCGGAGCTTCTTGTTCACTTAACATCCAGGAGAATTTGAGTTGGCCTATTCAAGGCCAAGTGGGGAAGCCAGATTCAGATAAAAACATTTGTTTTGGGACAGGCCGACTCTGCTTGATTTTTTTTCCTGCTGCCTTCATAGTTTTGCTGGTACGTCTCAATGACGACTCCAAACAGCCAAATTTTGTGGTCACTCTGCCGGACCAAGCTTGTTGCCTTCTCCGAGGTCGATTCCTTCACGCCAGTGAGTTCCAGGGGCTGCAAGTAGCTTGCGATTCTCAGAAATTGCGTCCAACTTACGGGTTAGCTCTAGAGCTGTCATTTCTAAACCAAACCTGAAACCCGACCCGGATTAGGGCCGGGCAGTTATAGTGTGATTAATGGCCAGAACGGTCTCGGGCTTTTAATTAGGTCAGGATCAGCCGTGATCCAATTATATGATAACATGGCCTGCCATACAATCACCAGCCACACACGGTCATTTCACCGTGAGCTGACTGGTCTTGAAAGAGGTAAAAAGTTCATTTAAGCTTCAGATGGGACTGTACTGCCAGGCAGCAATCCATCGCCCAAATGGACATTCATTCTGCTGCTGCACTCAGCGGACACGTGCGGTCGACGACCCAAACCGGTGAGATCACAAAGCAGACGCGTGTCTCAGTATTTCTGAAGAATGCAGGCAGAGACGGGGTGTAAATACTCTTTGACGGCTATGAAAGTACAAACCTCTCAGCTCCGAATCTTATACCGCTTTTATTCAGCAGCGCGTTCCCGACTGTTAACTAATTAAAAATGTTTTGTTTTTTTTTGGGGGGGGGGGGGGGGGGGTGTCCAGGTTCGGACCGGTAATTACTGTTAATTCGTCGGGTCGAGTGGGGTTCGGAAATTATGACTGCGGGCTGGGGCCGGGTCAGATCAGATTTTTTGTGCCCGAATGCAACTCCAGTTAGCTCACAAAGTGTCTGAGCCTGGGCACTCGAAGTGTGGCACATTCCTTCACACAAAACAAGCAGCCTCACAGTTGCCAGAACCGCTGCCTACGTCTTCTGAATTTGTCAATACGTCAGATACCTGCCAACTCCAAAAAGCAGAAAACCTGTTATCATAAATCCAGTTATATATAATAATTAATAAATAATTAATTAAGTAAGTATTTTTGAATTGAATTTAATTGAATATGTTTCTACATCCTCAATGGACAATAAGAACAGAAACATCATCTTTCATTGCCCCCCCAGGAATCCATAGTGTGTCCAGCTGCGAGTGTCCCTTCAGGGCATGAGGGCTCTCCTTCGCCCTGTCTTCTTGTTGAGAAAGTTTTATCACTTGCGTTGAGAGACCAGCTGACCAGATCCATAATTTACAATTCAGAAGATATGTAGAGAGAGGCTCAGAAAAAGATTTACAGAACAAGAGAGAGAGCAGGAGGAGCGGGAGGAAAAGGGTCCGTCTTCGTCAAGAGCAAGCAGGAAGTGCAGGAAGTTATAGATCAAGTGTTGGTATGACTAGGGTCCTGTTGGTCTTATTGTATTATTGTTCTGAAATGTAAATGCATAAACTTTAAATGGCTCATTTATGATGTTTCATTCCAAAGGAATTTTTAAACCTGATCCATGAACTAACTAGTCCTGTATAGAAAGTAGATTCATACCATACCACTTTATTTATAAAGCACTTAAAACAGCAACAAGGCCAACCAAAGTGTTGTACAGACAAAACAACAGGTAACACACAAAGCAAAATACAAAATGAGGTAAATCAGAATATAGACATAAAAACGATGCAGATAATGACGACAAACCAGTGTGGAGCATACAGGATCAAAACACATATTCATGAATTCATATGAATTCAATTCAGTTTATTTATAAAGCGCCAAATCACAACAAAGTTGTCTCAGGGCACTTTACAGGAACATTCACATAAAAGCCAATTAGTAAAGTTCCTCATATGTTGAGGGAGTATCAGAGAAACTGAGACGTTTATTTTCTAAACATAACGTCCCAGTGGCTTTTAAACCCCAAAATACATTAAAGACTGGTTCATCCCAAAGATCCAGTCCCCCGGCACAAACGGAGTAATGTTGTGTATGCTGTTCAGTGTCAGGAGGGTGATCAGTCTTACATCGGGGAAACTAAACAGCCACTGGCCAAAAGGATGGCCCAGCACAGAAGATCAACATCATCAGGCCAGGACTCTGCGGTCTACACTCATCTCCAGACCAGCGGTCACTCTTTCAGGGATGAAGATGTTCACATCCTGGACAGAGAGGAACGATGGTTTGAGAGAGGAGTAAAGGAGGCCATCTTTGTGAAAAGAAATCATCCATCATTAAACAGGGGTGGAGGCCTCCGGGTTCAACTGTCCCCCTCTTACAATGCTGTGATTGCTAGTATCACTCAGCCCTCTGTGAGTAGTAAACAGCCATCAGTGTGCTAATGATCCATTGTTAGGCTGATGGTCCTTCTTGAGCATGTGATCAGCTGGTTTTGGTTGTCAGCAGCAAAACTGGTTGATCCACTCTGAGAAGGTGCTATTTAAGAGACAGAGCTGAATACAGCACCTCAGACTGAGGAAGTCTCTCGGATGAGAGACGAAACGTTTCTACTTTTTTTTTTTTTTTTTTTTTTCTTGTTTTTTGAATGTCCAGAGGACCAGATTGAACTTTTTTGGATTTTTCTACCTGGATTATTGAGCATGCATCAGGACACAGTGACAACAGTGGAAAGGAAAAACTCAATTTTTAAAGGAAGAAACCTCCAGCAGAACCAGACAAGCGGCCATCTGCTTTGACCGGCTGGTTGAGAGGACAGGAAGGAGAGACAGACGAACATGGAATGGTAGGTCCAGGTATAAGTCCAGGTGAACCTGAAAGTAATGTTAAGGATAGATCTGTAATATAAGATGGAGCCAGGTTGTTGAGAGCTTTTTTAGGTTAGAAGTAAGATTTTGAATTCTATTCTGGATTTTTCAGGGAGCCAATGGAGAGAAGCTAAAACTGGAGAGCTATGATCTCTCCCACTAACTCCAGTTAAGACTCTGGCAGCAGCATTTTGGATCAACTGAAGACGTCTTAAAGAAGTATTTGGACATCCAGATAATAAACCATTGCAATAGTCCATTCTAGACGTGACAAATGCATGGACCAGTTTTTCTGCATCTTTTTTTAACACAATATAAAAACTGCAGGAGAATCCAAAGAAATCTCAGAGAATGATTACATGCAAAAATTAGACATTTGACACATGGATGCCAGTCTTTTAAATAAAGAGCTGTTAACATTGTAGTTACACAGCGGTGGATTTATCACATCAGAGCTCATTGCTGCAACATTTAACACTAATAATGCAGCTGCATGTTTCTTATGGTGCAGCCATAAAGCCATCATCTCCAAGAGGCTCAGCTTTGAGCCTTACTGTGCTCAGAAGGGTGAGTGACATGACGAGTGGGCAGGACGCTGACAACCTCCCCCCACACACACTTTGACTCTCTGATTGGTGTGTGTCTGTGGGCTGTCCTGGGTCCAGCTCGGGTTAGCAGCTGCAGGTCTGTGGGCTTGCTCTGAGCTGAGGATAAGGAGGACGTGTATTGTTCTCAGACGGAGGCTGTTTGTTCCTGGGGACCAGTTCTGACTTGTTATTTTGCACATGGACTGACTGAACAGCTTCACCTGCCTCCATCTCCTGCCAGCTTCTCCCCTGCTTCAGATCCTTCCTGTTCTTTAAACAGAGCGAAGTCCCAAAATGTCTCTAACTGTAGCTGGTAAGCTTGTTCTGTGGTTCGTGTTCCTGCAGCCGGTCACATCTCATGTTTGACACCTTGTACCAACAAAAGTTCAGAATGGATCTACTGAAACCACGCTCAAAGCTCAGCTTTGTCATGATCACAACTAAGAGCATATTTTGCTTTTAAAGCATTCTTTGATTTCTTCTTGGTGTTTGTGAAGAAAGGCTTTATTTATTCTCCTACGAGAGACCTTGAAAAGATAACCTGACTGTCTGTGATGTTCATCGTATGGGAACAAGCAGATATCTTCAGCTTTCAGACACTTTCTGTTTCTAACCTTTACAGTTTATATAACTTTGGTTGTGCTCTGTTTAACAACATCCACGATGTTCATTCCCGTTTTTCTCTGCTTTATAATGAGATGTCAGAGTATAGAGTGAGTTTGATTTAAGTAGAAGGTGTAAAGCAGTTGTATTTCCTAGGGATGCACGATATTGGATTTTGGGCTGATATCCAATATGCCAATAAGTTAAAACTTATTTGGGCGATAATCTATACCAGTACCGATAATTTTTCCCCTTAGACCTACTTACAGAGACTACATAGCTTTCTCTGCTGTGGAGTTAAAATACTACAGTATTCTGCATGGTCTTTGTCAGCGTGACCTGCTGCCAAATGCAGAAGCCAAAAAAAGGGACTGAAAATGATGTAACACTTCAACTTGGATTATGTTTAATGTCAAATTGATTCATGACATTTACTCTCTCTAACACAATGACAACGCTCGAACAGTGCAAATTAATAAATTGTCACAAATATAAACTCAACCCGTTCACAAGCGACAAATGAAAAGCGCACAAGTAGTAGTGCATTAATAGATATACTTGACAGTCTCTTAAATTAAAATTTAACTTAAAACAGAAGACTTTTATATCAGTGAGTTATTTTGATGGAATGGTCAATGTCCAATATTTAACTTTATTGCTAATATTGGCCGAACGATACCATGCCGATAATATCGTGCATCCCTAGAATTTCCCGATCACCTTGAATTTAGACTTTAGACTCCTCGTTTCTGTTTGAAACTTTTTAACTATTCTCCATCTGTGTGTTCACAGCTCTGACCAGAGGAGCCATGACAGAGTTTGAGGAGAAGCTCCGTCAGCAGCACGAGGACTCCATGCACCGGGAGCTGGAGGCGCTGCTGGCTACAGCCGACAAAGCTGAAGCAGGGGTGGGTTCAGCTGTAGCTCCAAAGGTCCCAAATCAGAGGAGAAATGTTGCAGCATGGAGTAAATATGACCTATCGCACTGAACCAAAGATTAGCTTGGATATCATGAAGCTAAATCAGTCTCAAATGGAGTCACACAAGCATACCACAAGTCTGACAAATGCATCAAGTTTTTCTAAGGTACACATTTCAGTTTACACAAGTAAGAATACAAATTGTCAAATACACGTGCACAAATCACCTGCTGTGGAGGAATCCATTAACACGAGCGCACGGATCAACTGTCTGTGAATGTGATTTTGAACGCTCTAGTTTCACAAAGGGAACGGTGCATTCAAGACAGGTGAAAAGTTGGGATATCAGAGTTTTACCAGATTTACTGAGTTATTGGGAAAAGACATATTTCTAACAATACCTCATAACCCCTTTATTAAAACACATATGCTTACAATAATGTTACTGGCAGGATGACTCATGTCCACTTGCAAAAATAAACGATTCATTTAAATGAACAAGAGCAAAGCTGACGGGGCAGCAACTTACATAGTTTCTGGGATCACAAGGGACAAGGAGGTAGACAGGACAGGTCACAAGGTACAGGTAACAAGGAACCAGGAACCAATAACTAATGCCAGGACAACAAGAAACACAAAGACTCGGGTTTATATGCACAAACACTAACAAGACAAAGTGGCAACACCTGGGACACACACAACAGGTGGCAAAGGAGGAAAGTGAACTGTGAGGGGAATAGTTGAGGAGCAGGAATGAGACACACCACAAAACGGCACAATCCTCACACACAGATGCCATCTTTGCTTTGAGGATGCTGATGGAGAAGTACAGAGAGGGTCAGAAAGAACTCCATTGTGTCTTTGTGGATTTAGAAAAAGCATATGACAGGGTGCCGAGGGAGGAGGTGTGGTGTTGCTCGAGGAAATCTGGAGTGGCAGAGAAGCATGTTAGACTGGTACAGGACATGTATGAGGACAGCAGGACATGTATGAGGACAGCAGGACGTGTATGAGGACAGCAGGACAGTGGTGAGATGTGCTGTAGGAGTGAATGATAGCTTCAAGGTGGAGGTGGGAGTGCATCAAGGATCAGCTCTGAGCCTCTTCTTGTTTGCTGTGGTGATGGACCGACTAACAGATGAGGTCAGGCAGGAATCCCCGTGGACGATGATGTTTGCAGATGATGTGATCTGTGGTGAGAACAGGGAAAAGGGTGGAAGAGAGCTTGGAGAGGTGGAGGTATGCACTTAAAAGAAGAGGAATGAAAGTCAGCCTAGTAAGACAGAGTACATGTGTGTGAATGAGTGGGAGGCTGGTGGAACAGCGAGGCTACAAGGAGCAGAGGTCATAAAGGTGCAGGACTTCAAGTACTTGGGGTCCACTGTCCAGGAAAATGGGGAGTGTCGTAAAGAAGTGAAGAAGAGAGTCCAGGCAGGATGGAGTGGATGGAGAAAAGTTTCAGGAGTGATTTGCAACAAAAGGTGTCAGCAAAGGTCAAAGGCAAAGTTTACAAGACAGTGGTGAGACCAGCTATGTTGTATTGTATTGTCTGGAGACAGAGACGTGGACAAAAAGACAGGAGACAGAACTGGAAGTGGCAGAAACGAAGATGTTGAGGTTCGTAGAAGTGACAAGGATGGATAAGACTAGGAATGAGATCTTCAGAGGTACAGCACAGGTTGAAGAACTGGGAGATAAAGTTACAGAGACCAGACTGAGATGTTTGGACATGTCCAGAGGAGGGACAGTGGTTTGGACATGTCCAGCGGAGGGACAGTGGGTATATTGGTAGAAGGATGTTAGAAATGCAGCTGCCAGGAAAAAGACAAAGATAAGATATATGGATGCAGTTAGAGAGGACATGGAGGTAGTTGGAGTGAGGACAGAGGATGCAGAGGATAGAGTGAGATGAAGGAAGATGACTTTCTGTGGAGACACCTGAAGAGGGAAAATCCAAAAGAAGAAGATTAAGAAGTAGTTCAGTTTGAAGTTTCCTTAAAAGTGAATGATAAATGGACTGTATTTATATAACGCCTTTCTATCTTATCAGGATACTCAGAGCGCTTTACACTACAATCTGTGTCCTCATATACCCATTCATACAGCACTCTACTAGATCTGTATAAATACTAATAAGTGCTTTATCACATTCATACACCGATGGAACACAAAAAGTCACACACTCACTTCACACTGCACTTGCCTCTGTGCTTCACTGAAACCATCGGAGACCATTTGAATAAATTTATCTTTCTTTTGTTATGCTGGTCCACATGCACAATGTCGCTCAGTGGAACAAGAGTCATGGCCTCATATATCTGTGTTTGCATGTATCTGGACAAATGTTTGCAAAGTACAACAGCAAACACAGAGTCCATTAGGTCCTCGGTCTGAGCACACGGAGAAGGCTCAATCAGGGCAGTTCAAGGTGAACAGCCCCGAGGTCCTGCACACCAACACACAGCTGTTCACTCTCAGTTAATCTGGGTTTAAAGTCTGCATTCCACTATAAATCTCTTAATGGTATACAAACCAATAAAAACCACAGGGATGGACAGACACATCAACATATGTGTAGTTTATCTAAGATGTGTTCATCATACACCACACTGTTAACATTCCTCACTCTACCATCAGATTTAATAATTTATGTTCAGTTTAAGGACAGTGCACATTAATAAATGTTCCTGTAAATGTGCCAGAATTGGCCAAAACTTCTCATCCGTTCTCTTTGCACAGGTCACAAAGTCACGCTAAAACAAAAGATTATAACCTCAGATATACAAATCAAATATAATTATTCAGTCTCTTAAAGTATTAAAAATACCAGCCATGACAACACCCTCCAGACACATACATAAATTCATAAAAGTGTAATTTATTTTTTAAATGTTGGACGTCAAACACTTAAAAGTAATAAATTGCAAGTATAATTGTCTTTCAGTCCCTAAAACTGAACTCCAGTCCAGTCCTCTGACATGCTGTGGTTTTGACTCTTAAGTGGAGGAGAAGTTATGGCAGGTGTGATCTTATACATAAAACAAACATTTGCACATTTAATAATAATTCTTAGATCATCTGCATACATTTGAATATTATAATTAAACACAAGGAAGAGGGTTCATATATAGCGTAAATAGGAAGGGTCCAAGGACGGATCCTTGTGGAACGCCTGTTGCCAACTTGATAGAAGATGATTTGTGATTTTGTATGCAAACAACTTGAGGTCAGTGCCTATTTAAGTGTAAAACAAATAAAGCAGGACACATGAACTGCATTATTAACAAGGATAATTACTTTCTTAAGGTCAAGAAATACAACTTTAAAAACACTACCTCTAACTAACTGGAGATTAATGTCTGGTAAATGACAGTTGACTTTTTCAGTTGAATAATTGGTTTTAAAATCAAACTGCACTATGTAAAGTAAATTAACTGGCATTCAAGTGAAATACAATTAAATCAAGTGTCACTAAATGTAGAGATTAATTAAACAATGGAAGTACTTCCTGAATTAATGGATTATTTTGTTTTAATGCTGTTTTTTATGTTTCCATTAGAATCATCAATCTTTTAGGACAGACTACACCGAGTATACAAACCTCATCATTTAAGCTTTGGAATACTTTTCCTAACACAGTTATCCTCCAAGATTAGTTTTAATTTTTAAAGGCAATAAATATGAAGAAGCATGAGTCTAAATGTACTAACGTCTTACTCACTTTAATCAAAACTTGTAAAAATATCATATTTGCCACATTTTGTTAAAAGAAGAAAGTTTTTTATTCATATCACTTTTGTTTTCGTCTGAATGTCAGTTAGTTGTGACAGTGTGTTTGGTTGCTTCTGTTTCAGGTCTCCAGAAAAGACTTCAATGGCTTCAAGAACCTCTTTCACAGATTCCTGCAGGTCAAAGGTCCCTCGGTCGAGTGGGCCAGGATCAACCGACCGCCGGAGGAGTTGGTAAGGCCCAGTACCTGCAGTCACTGTTTTCTGGGGTTCGTGTTGTAATCCTCTGTGCTGCCAGACAGATTAAGGGGGTCACAATAAAGGGTCCAGCGTACTCCACCCGAAGCCGAACAGTCGACTCGTGGTCACGTGGTTGAGGAACGTTTGTTTTTGCACACAGCGTTTGTAGTACATGAGACTCAGGTGCAGAGCTCCTGGGAAACTGCTCCCACTGCAGTATACGTCAGTGAGTCCACTCCATCACTGCTTCTGCCGTTCGGCCACAAATCTGTCACAAAGAGAGCGCCACACTTTTCCAGACGGACTCCTCTTTGCACAATGTCTGGGATCAACATCCAGGAGCTTTTGGTCGTTTGACTAATTTAGTGTATTTGAAGAGTCGTACAGATGAATGTCCGAGAGTTTCTCTTCTTCTGATCAGTCACACAATAATTGGTGCAAACGCCTGTGCAAAAAGGTTCAGCTGAGCCTTGAGTTGAGAGGAGGCGGGCGAAGCTGCTCTGAGAACAAGATGATGCAATATTCATCGCACAGCTACATCAGTGAGAGACGATTTAACGGCTTCTGGAGTATGCAGCAACTTCAGACCTGGTTCAGACGTCAGAACAAGTTGAAATGTCTGCATACAACAACAGGCTGCAGATTGCACAACCTACTTTTATTTTATTTTATTCAAAGACGGGGACTGCAGCTTCATGAGCTGGTCTGTTTGTAGTTGAACAGAAGAGTTCGTGTTTTACCTGCATCCATTTTTTTAAATGATCGTCTTCAAGGGTCCACTTCATCTCCATGAACTGGACTTCTTGTAGAGTAAGGTTTAAACGAGGCTTGTAGTTGTGACTGCAGGTTTCTGTCATCAGATTTAATATTAGAGAGGATTTAAATCAAGTCTGCTGTTCTGTCTGTGTCCAGACACAAAACAAATGTTGCCTTACGTGCGGTTTCAGTGAAAACATTTGCTGTATTGAACTGTTATCCCAAGGTCTTGCCTCATTTCTGAGTCTGAATCTGGAGCAGCCATGCAAAGTGCAAAATGCCAGTCTGGCCACTGGAAGCCATTTTGAGTCCAAGGACACTTGTCACATCTGGACACCAGGAGTGAACAACAGTCACATGGAAAGTCTGTGACCTGAGAGCCATCACTGAGCTGATCACACATTTCCACATTCTTGGTTTGTTCCATTATATCCAGTTCACGCTTCCATTAGAGATGAACTCATAGAGAAGTTGTTGGTTGGAGCTGTTCGGTCACTGAACAAACTAAAAGGAAACCTCGTTCTGTTTTAACATTTGATGTAGTTAGTAGTTTGGTTCACTTGCTTTATTCTGAACTAGGCAAAGCAGAAGCTCCACCTAATCATGTATTGATCATTTAGCCTGACTCCTGTATCGTTCCTAACATTTGGGACTGTTGAGCTCGCGTGGGAGAACTGGAATAAAAGTGACACTTCAGAGACGAGTGAATGTAACCAGATCTGGGAGCAGAACATTCAGTGTCACACCAGCTCATGATCTGCATGCTGACTTACTTGGCATATACACTTTTCAACCCCATCTCCCCCCCTCCCCCCCCAATCCTGTATGCCCCAAAATACTCCTGAGAGTGAAGGTTAGCTCTAAGAATAGTCTGACCATCGCAGCATTCACAAGGAGTCAGGCCACAGACGATGGTATTTGTCTTCTGAGAGACTTTGGATGCTTATCTACACATCCCCCACCCACCACCAGCCCCCACCCCCACCTGACGGCCTTAACAGCCTAAATGCAACCACCGGTACCTAACAACCGTACGATGGCTGCGCAGAACAAGGACATTTCTCCTGACAGAGGGAAAAGAATATGAAGCACCGTAACCCGAGGGTACCTGTGCAAAACACGTACACATGGTTAGTCCTGTTTTAAAGGAGTTAATACGCATCTGTTACAAATAAACAGTAAACAAATATAAAACTGGTCGTTAGCCTGAACTCAGTTTGTGCTTTTCACCCTCAGGGTTTTGAAGGTGAAGCCTCTGAATTTCACACGAAAGAACTTGGACAACTTTACTTCAGGTTTAAGGACATTTATTTACTTATTTGTGTAAGAACCAATCACAAAATGAGTTATGTGTGGGCAATCTTTGCCATAAATCATAGCTGTAGCTCTATCCTGGCAGTAGCTACAGTTCACTGATATTTGAGAAAATACGCAACATTCTTATGAAACAGTAAATATATTTGCATACTTTGATCATGTTAAATAAATTAGGCTTAAGCTTAATTATAAAGCACGGCGGTGGTAGCATTGTGATTTCTAGGTGTGTTTTTGTAGGATAGATCGCTTCAAGAACAAAAGAACATTTAACTTGTTAAATCTTTGAGATAATCAGTACCTGCTGAACGTAGAAGGACGTGTGGAAAACCTTTTATGCTTCTTGTTTGGGTCTGGTCGTGTCAGCACAAACGTAATAACCTGAAAATTAAAACTTATTTTTGTTCAGAAGCTTTAGCCCATGAACCATGTTTTCTAACCTTACACCTACTCTGGAGAAGAAGTTCCACATATTGACAATTATATTTCTGAGCATTTCCATAATGAAAACCTTTGTTTCAACAACAGTGAACAGACACGCAGGTAAAACCTGCAGACTTCTGTATTTATTTGAGTTTGTGAACAAGGGTCAGGTTTCATTTTGACCTTGAGGCTCCAGCTGACGCCCTAATTATTGATGGCTGAAGTCACAGCTGCTAAGCCAGCTCAGCGTCATGTGACATTAATGCCTGAGTTCCAACACGTCCACGGAGCTGAAGATAACTCTTGAACAATACCAGACATCTTTCAGTACATCTATCAACAGTAATAAATTCAAGGGGGGCGTTTTAGCTGGCACTTTTTAGCGACACTTCACTGGGTCCAAATGTCTTTCAGGTACAGATCCTACGAGTTTAACAGAAAAATGCAACTAGAGTTCTTGTTGTTGACTTTGTTTGGCCCAGGACTCCCTTGCAAGAGATCTGTGATCTCAGTGGAACTTCCTTCCATCTGTCCGCCTGTTCGTCCTTCCATCCATCCATCATCCATCATCCATCCATCCATTATCTTTACCCGCTGCCGTTTCAAATTATATTCACACGGAGTAATACCTTCGAATAGGGATGCATGATATTGGATTTTTGGCCGATATCCGATATGCCAATAAGTTAAAACTTCTTTGCTGATAACCAATACCAATACCGATATTTTCCCCTAGGCCTACTTACAGAGACTTCATAGTTTTCTCTGCTGGGGAATTAAAATACTAAATTATTCTGCATGGTCTTTGTCAATTTGACCTGCTACCAAATGCAGATGCCAAAAAAGTAAATGAAAATGATGCAACACAACTTGGATTATGTTTAATGTCAAATTTATTCATGACATTTACTCTGTCAAACACAATGACAGCACTCGAACAGTCATACAAAAACAGTGCCTTATACAGTATATATCTATATATAGATGTATATAGATATATAGATATAGATACATAGATAGATATAGATATAAACATCACCTTTTATATTGGTGAGTTATTTTGATGGAATGGCCAATGTCCGATATTTAACTTTATCGCTCATATCGGCCGATACCATGCCGATAATATTGTGCATCCCTACCTTTGAACAGTTCGGTCAGTGATCCCTGTCGGCTGCTACTTTGCTTACTTCAAGTTGAAGCACTGGTCGTTGGCATTCTAGCCATGCAACTATCGTAAATGTCTTTGTGGTGTGTTTTTCAGTGTTGATAAAGATTTGTGGTGTTACCTCGAGAGGTAGCAACAGCAACAAGGCAGGTTCTGAACAATACATGCTGTTGCGCAGCGTCTTCTTTCTTATGGACAAAATAATCCAAACAACGGACGTGCTGCTCCTCTTTGGTACCAAACTTTCAGATGTATCAGCTTCAGTCGAGCCGGATGCCATTGTGTGACCGATGAAAGCGCAGTGTTGACTTCTTCCACTCCCTCACGTCACCAGATCACGTGACCTGTCAGATCGCAGCTTTTGCGATTAGAAAATCTCGTTTTATCATGATGTTATTGCAAATGCGCTTAATTGTTCAGCCCTAATTCCCAGTTAGATTCATGCCTTAATGAATACAACCAAAACTCTTGTCATGAGGACCAGGCTGACAACCCTCAGGTGGGTGTGGAGCAAAACTAATCTGCAAGTAAGATCATCTCAAAGAAACAGAGCAGTTTAAAGCTTTGCAACCCCAAGAAGAACCATTCCAGTTTGGTTTGAGAAAGTGTCTTCAGTAAGGAGCGAAACATCTTCAACAACAGAAGAACTCCAGTTAGTTTTTTTTTGTTTTTTCTTGTTAACTCCTAGAATTGGCCATTTTCTGAATGAGTGAGAAAAAACTTTAAAAAATAGTTAAAGTCACAAGGAAATCTTCTTCATCGTGGTGAAGATGATGAACACCACCCTTGCACTGTGTGTTCGTATATACGGGTGGGAATTCTGTGTGTTGTGTTTGGTGAGTTACATGTTTTAGCCTCTAAATCTAACAACATTTTACTTTAGATCATTATTAACAATTCATTTTTTCACAACAGGTCTACCTTCTTGTGTAAGATTTGCTATAATTTGCTAAGCTGCTGTTCATGCATGTAAACACAACAGTGTCATACCTGACTGGAAGAACTCGTACTCTTACTGTGTGCAGTGAGTTTATCTTACGTTGCTCACATTTCAGGTCTTTACAGTCAAGCTTGTGTCCTCTGTGCTGTTTTATTAGATCCAGCCATATGACAGGATCAAGGCCAGGGGGCTCCCCAACAACATCACCGAGTGCCTCAACAAGCTCGCAGTGGTCAAACTCAATGGAGGTCTGGGAACCAGCATGGGCTGTAAGGGCCCCAAGAGTCTGATCAGTGTCCGCAACGAGAACACCTTCCTGGATTTGACGGTGCAGCAGATCGAGGTAGGAACTGTGCAGAACAAAAACACAGCGGTCCAGCTCAAATGGTGATGTGCTTATCTTCTGGGTTTATGTTTTTTAGCATCTGAACAAAAAGTTCAACACCGACGTGCCGCTCGTCCTCATGAACTCTTTCAACACTGACGAAGACACGAAGAAGATCATGCAGAAATACACACACCACCGGGTGAAAATCCATACGTTCAACCAGAGCAGGTGAAGCGCGTGCACACACACACACACACAGTACCAGCTAGACCAGGGGTGCCCAATATGTCGATCGCGATCTACCAGTCGATTGCAAAGGTACTATGTGTAGATCGCATGGCATTAAAAAATAGACGTCAGCTCATCATCCACCCTCACTATGAAATTTGTCACTTGATTGACAGCCAGTCTGAGACCTAACCTTTTCTGACACATAGGTCACACACAACCGCGCCAAATGCTAGCAAGCTACCGAGTTGCCTAGTTAGCCTCTAATTCATTTCTTCTAAACTCAAGAAAGTGTTTAAAATGAGTGGGGGAGCTGGACCAGTTAAGCAGCAAAAACTCTACTATTTCCATACAGAATGGGAGGAGGACTTTTTTTCATGATGTCATATTTGATGTGCGTTTTCCTCATCTACCAGTCTACCATTGTTATTCCGAAGAAAGGAAATGTGGAGCGGCATTTTCGTACTCTTCATAAAAATTACGACACTGACTTCCTTCTGAAAAGCAAGCTGAGAAAAAAAAAAGGTGAAGGAACAAAAATCCCAGTTATCCGGACAGCATTAATTTTTCTCACAGCTGGATACAAAAGCGAAGGCAGCTATCAAAGCACAAGAAGTCCTTTCAAAATGGAGAGATGATAAAAGAGTCTGAAGCAGCTGACTTGTTGATCCGAGACTTTAAAAACAAACCAGAAATATTATCTTCCATCAAAGCTCTCCAGGTATCAAGAAGTACAGTTACATGGCGCTGTGAAGCCATGTCTGAGGATTTGACCCAGCAACTTTGGAAGGATATCGTGGACTGCAAGTGTTTCTCACTGCAATTGGACGAGTCTAGCCATGAGTGACACAGCCCAGTTGTGCATTTTTATTTGGATGGTGTTTTCCGATATCTGGAGTGGACGATGAGGTTTTGACAGCACAAGCTGACATTCACTTTAGGGCCAGGGCTCTTGGACAGTTCTGGAATTTACTCACAGAGGAAAAGTGACTGCATTATTCGGCTTCACTTATTTATGTGAGTCAACCTTTTCCCACATGAAGATAATTAAATACAAATACCATTCCACAACGACTGATTATCATTTGGAAATGTGCTTGAGGTTGGCTATCAGCAGCTACTGTCCAGACTCTGCATCCCTGGCTGACTCTATTCAGTGCAAGTCATGCAAGAAAGTCATGCATGCAAATCACGCACGCTTTGAAGACCTGAACCAGCACCAGACTCACCTCACCACCAGAAGAGGAGTTCCTCAGCGTGACCTTAGCTGAAGTAAGGTGTACCTTCAGGAGAATTAATCCTCACAAAGCAACTGGCCCAGACATCATCCCCAGGAAGGTAATGAAAGAATGTGCTGATCAGCTCTGCGAGGTGCTGGCCGACATCTTTAACTCCTCCCTTACCCTGGCAACAGTTCCCACCTGCCTGAAGACCGCCGCCATCATCCCAGTTCCTAAAAGCTCTGCAGTGACTGGCCTGAATGGCTACCGGCCAGTAGCACTCATCCCAACACTTGCTAAATGTTTTGAAAGACTGGTCATGACTCAAATCAAAGCTACCATCAACATCAACAAGGACCCTCAGCAGTACGTATACCATGAGAATCGATCAACAGAGGATGCCATCTCCTCTGTGGTCCACACTGCTCTCACCCACCTGGAGCAGAAAGACTCCTAGGTCTGTATGCTCTTTGTGGACTTCAGATCCACCTTCAACATATTGACTCCCCAAACCCTGATGGCAAACTACTCACACTAGGACTAAGCCCCTCCGTATGCAACTGGGTCCTGGACTTCTTAACAAACAGACCTCAGTCTGTGAGGATCCACAACTTCTCCTCATCCACCATAATCCTCAGCACTGGCTCTCCTCAGGGCTGTGTGTTGAGCCCCCTCCTGTTCACTCTGCTCACATATGACTGCATGTCACCTACCCATCCAGGCTGACATATTGTAAAGTTTGCAGATGATACAGGGGTGGTGGGATGCATCCCAAACAAAGATGAGTCCAGCTACAGGCAGGAGGTGGAACATCTGGAGAGCTGGTGCAGGAAGAACAACTTTCACATCAATGTGAAGAAGACAAAGGAGATGGTCGTGGACTTCAGATGGAACAAACACACCTACACCCCTGAACATAGGAGGATCTGCGGTGGAAGTGGTCTCCAGCTACAAGTACTTGGGTGTACACATGAATGACAACCTCAGCTGGAGCAACAACACCACCAGCCTGATCAAGAAAGCTCATCAGAGGCTCTACTTCCTCAGACGGTTGAGACGAGCTGGTCTGGGAAGCTCAGTCCTCACCTCCTTCTACAGGTGTGCAGTGGAGAGCATCCTGTGCTCCAGCATCAACGTGTGGCATGGAGGCTGCACAGCTGCAGAAAGAAAAGCTTTGCAGAGAGTGGTGAAGGCTGCACAGAAGATGTTGGAGTCAGCCTCCCCACCATCACAGACATCTACACCTCCAGATGCAGGAAGAGGGCCACCTGCATCATGAAGGACCCCACTCACCCAGCACACACACTTTTTGCCCCGCTCCCCTCAGGAAGGAGGTTGAGGAGCATTAAGTGTAGAACCACTAGACTGAGGAACAGCTTCTACCCTGAGGCTGTTAGACTCATGAATCTAACCAGAATAATCACTGTGGAAAAAAATCATTGTAATCATCACTTTGATTGTTTATGTGCTGCTGATCTCATGCTGCCGATTTATTTCATGTTACTGTATTCATTTGTACTCATCTACTCACCTAGACTCATGTTTGTGCTGCTGTTCAGCGTATTATTTTTGCACTATAAAGTGTTTAGCGTATTCCTAGTTCATACCTTAGACCTTATTACCATTTCTTTTACAATTTATACTTTTGTTATTGTTGGATGTAACTAGGACCCTGTGTACACTGTTTCGTTCCACCTTATGTACAACATGTAACGTGAATGACAATAAAGAACCTTGAATCCTTGAATTATCAAAGTAAGGTAATGAAAAAACATGTACAGAGTTATATTGCGCAATATAGGTTCATGCAGTTATGCAAGGTACATCAACATATATTATACAAATAAGTAATTCTTATATGTTTTGTATTTTTGTAGAACGTAGATCACTTTGACTTGGTTGCTTTGACTTAAAAGTAGATTGCATGCTGAAAAAGTGTGGGCACCCCTGAGCTAGACCATTTACTTCTATTTTCATAAACAGATCTTTAGCCCCGTCAGTCTACATCAACATAAATACATGGAATAGATCTGGAATGTAAGGAAAAGTTTTTAAAAAAATTATGTATTTGAACAAGTTATTATTTTCCATCATATTTTAAATCTTCGTGCACACTAAGGCATCCAACAGAAACGGTTTTATTCCCCACAAATTGTCAGTTTTAGCAAAATAATTGAGGAATCTGGAAAGAGGGCGGGGTCAGTGGTCACATGACAACATTCATCAAATTAAACCCAAAGTGGTTTTCTGATAATAACTTTTTACATGAGACAGAAAAAAACAAACCAGGAACAGAAATCTGCATTTATCCTGGAGGAGTTAGGAACTGCAAATTTAAAAAAATTAAATTAGATAAACGCGTAAAAACATTATCATTGTACGTGAGATTGTATTTTTTTTAGTGTGATAGTAGCTGAGAGTCATACCCATCACACATCATGTAAAGATCAAAACATTAACTTTTATGTCCATTTATAAAGTCAAAAGATACATTTATTTTAAATTGTTTGTTGACATAATAAATTATAGTAATGGTTTGTCTCTGCTCTTTAGCTGTTTTTAAATCTTGTTTAGAAACAAACGTTTACTCCCTGTCTTTAAACCCAGTGAGAGATGGCTTTAACCTTTGTGCCTTTATTGCCCCCCCCCCCCCCCCCCCCCCCCCGGCCGCCAGAGCAGGCCCGAGGGAGCCACGATGCGTTTTATCCATTAACATTTGTGTGGTTACAGCCAGAGCTCAAGGTGTGA